GCCTGAGTGCCGTAATCACCTGTTTTTCGAGTGTGATTTCTCGAGCATAATCTGGAATTATATCATGGATTGGCTTCAGTTTAGATGGAGATTATGTGACTGGGAAGTGTTAATGAATTGGTATAACAACAGATTAAGAGGCAAAGGATAAAAACAAAAAATTAAAAGCTGAACATTGACCTAGATAGAATATATTTTAACCGTCTACACGGTTAAAATCACATGCCACTATATTTTAAAAACTTTGCTATAGAGAGTCCCAATGTTTGAAACAAACATTGGAAGGGCAAGTGTAGTAAACATGTTCCAACATATTCTTACAAACATTTGCAATTTCCAGCGTTCATCAAAAACAATGTTAATTGTCAATGTTTATAAAAAAACATTGGCACTTGTGGTACTATACATTGTTTGGGAACCTGCTATGCAATTTTTGAGACTAGTATGGTGAATGTGCGTTGCACATGTGTCAATTTTCATATGTAAATTTCTTTTTATATCTAGAGTTGTTTGTTATATGGCCCGACTTTAAAAAAGTTCAGTCTTCAAAGTAAATTTTTTTTAAATATTAATTTTTCATTTAAAAGTAGTAGAATTAAATATTAATTTTTCTTAAAAATAGGGATAAAATGATAAAATTTTTGAAAACTATTATTTTGTAGAACTCTAGTATTTGGACTTTAAAATAATTTTTTTGAGATTTTGGGCATAACATAAATTTATATTGAACTTTAAATCTTCTATGTAATTTCTTTATTTAAAGTTTGATCTTCTAAGTAAAAGATTTTCTTGAATTTATAATATCTTGGTTTGGTCATGAAATTTTTATAGTTGTAGTTGTAGGTGTTCTATTTTAGTAATGCTAGTTATAGTGTAGTTACATAATCTGGAATTATATCATGGATTGGCTTCTGTTTAGATGGAGATTATGTGACTGGGAAGTGTTAATGAATTGATATAACAACAGATTAAGAGGCAAAGGATAAAAACAAAAAAAATTAAAAGTTGAACATTGACCTAGATAGAATATATTTTAATCGTCTACACGGTTAAAATCACATGCCACTATATTTTAAAAACTTTGCTATAGAGAGTCCCAATGTTTGAAACAAACATTGGAAGGGAAAGTGTAGTAAACATGTTCCAACATATTCTTACAAACATTTGCAATTTCCAGCGTTCATCAAAAACAATGTTAATTGTCAATGTTTGTAAAAAAACATTGGCACTTGTGGTACTATACATTTTTTGGGAACCTGCTATGCATTTTTTTGAGACTAGTATGGTGCATGTGCGTTGCACATGTGTCAATTTTCATATGTAAATTTCTTTTTATATCTAGAGTTGTTTGTTATATGGCCCAACTTTAAAAAAGTTCAGTCTTCAAAGTAAATTTTTTTAAATATTAATTTTTCATTTAAAAGTAGTAGAATTAAATATTAATTTTTCTTAAAAATAGGGATAAAATGATAAACTTTTTGAAAACTATTATTTTGTAGAACTCTAGTATTTGGACTTTAAAAATAAATTTTCTGAGATTTTGGGCATAACATAAATTTATATTGAACTTTAAATCTTCTATGTAATTTTTTTATTTAAAGTTTGATCTTCTAAGTAAAAGATTTTCTTGAATTTATAATATCTTGGTTTGGTCATGAAATTTTTATAGTTGTAGTTGTAGGTGTTTTATTTTAGTAATGCTAGTTATAGTGGAGTTGCAATCTATTAATTCGTTCACACTTGATATAAACGATACAATGAATATAATTATCCCTTTCTTCTAAAAGTTCTATATAGGAAAATGAAAAAAATAAATACATATTTTTTTAATATTAGATAATACTAAAATATATGCATTTAAAATAAAAAAATTATAAAATCATAAAATAGCATTAATAATATTAATGATATATTATTATAATACTAAAAATTATTTATAAAAAATATTTATAAATGTAAATAATTTTAAATTATTATTATTTTTTTACAATAATTTTATGAAATAAAATAATACTTTGATGTAAATTATAATATTATGTACAAATATATTTGATTAATGTTTACAATAATAATACATATTATACTATAATATTATATATTTAATAATATAGTTAATACATGTTATATTATAAGAATAATATTATTGTGATCTTATGCAATCGTCACATTTTCTTTTTTTATATATTATAAACTCTTATTAAAAACTATAATATTGAAATATTGATTTTAGCAGACAATTACATTAGAGATAGTGAACTGTGTATTCATTATAAGAAAAAAAATATTCCGTACACATGCCTTTGCACATAACATAGTGATATAAGAAATCTTTACTCCGACACAAAAGTGACTTGCACGATAGTAAAGAAGGTGATACCCCTCACTCCTTGAACATAAGTCCTGCGTCTATATTAGAAATAAATAGTATAATAACTATCTCCAAGAGAGCACAAAATAAAACAAATAATTTGAGAAATTTATTTTCATAGAATCTCTTCAATCCCAGGTGTCACCGAAGTACATGGAAGGGCTCTTGGGGTCGTCTCTAACTTCCATCTCAGTAACAAGCGACAACGGTTAGTGGCTACGACTGACGAACATGACATGGAGATGTATTAGAGAGATATGTATGTTTGTGGTGATGAATGAATTTCATTCAGGTAAGTGATAAGGGAGGAGGTTATAAGATGGGAATGGAGAGGGTTTTATAAGATTAATGAGATTTAAGTGAGTTCAATAGAGGGGTTATAAAGCGTTTAAGTTACAAAATTATTAAGCTAATAATAGTATTTGAATGAGGGCAATAAGGATAATGATATTAATAAAATTCTCACTTTCATCTTCTCTCTCTTCTATTATCATATTATTAGTAACATGCTATATCTACTAAGTTCATGGATAATACAATATTTCTCTCGAATCACAATTAAGTACTTAGTAATAATTAAGTACTTTAGCCTCAATCCGAATCCTCCACATTTCCTTGCATCAATCGTATCATCAATCCGCATATAGTCATCAATATAACAATCACATCAGTATAAAGTATAATCCGAGTAAAGCTCGGTACTTCCTTAGCACAACTTCAATCGTCTTCAACCCCCCTACCCCTTTGTCGTTATCTCTTCTGAAGGGATAATGTTTTCGCTGATGAGCTTATATCATCCAAATAATATCACAGTAAAGCCATGGGGTGAGTATAGAATGTTGTTAGGGTTGTAAGAGGTGAGTGTAAATCTAAATTATCAAATGAGTGAATTTATATAGGTTGCAAGTAAGGACTATTATGATAAATAAAAAAACCAGGCTCTTTGGATTCCGTAACAGTCAAATGTAATTGCCATTTAAATAAAAACTATAATTAAAAATGTAACTCTCATTTCAAGTATGCATGAATGCATGCACTAATGGCATTTTAAGTTGACACTTTGTTTGCAAATTGAAACGTATATTATTAGTTTGTCATATGTGCGTTTTAAGTGGAGGGGTTACAAAAAAAAATAGAAGTTAATATTAGTGGACAATTAATAGGAGAGTTATGCCATTATTAAGAATGTATGTATGTAAGCATTTTAAGTTGACAATTTGTTTGCAAATTGAAACATATATTATTAGTTTGTCATATGTGTGTGTATTCAATTCTCAGCTATTATGCCAAATACAACTTACAATCTTAAAATGAAATTATGATAACATTAATATTGGATTAGCAGAGGGATTACAAAAAATAGAAGTTAATATTAGTGAACAATTAATAGGAGAGTTATGTCATTATTAAGAATGTATGCATGTATATGTTTATATGTATGCAAATTTTTTATGATAACATTAATATTGGATTGGTGGAGGGGTTACAAAAAATAGAAGTTAATATTAGTAGACAATTAATAGGAGAGTTATGCCATTATTAAGAATGTATGCATGTATATGTATGTGTTTATATGTATGCTATCTCTAATGTAATTGTCCGCCAAAGTCAATATTTCAATATTATAGTTTTTAATAAGAGTTTATAATATATTAAAAAAGAAAATGTGACGATTGCATAAGATTTGCAAAATAAAATTCTCACTGTGTATTCATTATAAGAAAAAATATATTCCGTACACATGCCTTTGCACATAACATAGTGATATAAGAAATCTTTACTCCGACACAAAAGTGACTTGCACGATAGTAAAGAAGGTGATACCCCTCACTCCTTGAACATAAGTCCTGCGTCTATATTAGAAATAAACAGTATAATAGCTATCTCCAAGAGAGCACAAAATGAAACAAATAATTTGAGAAATTTACTTTCATAGAATCTCTTCAATCCGAGGTGTCACCGAAGTACATGGAAGGGCTCTTAGGGGTCGTCTCTAACTTCCATCTCAGTAACAAGCGACAACGGTTAGTGGCTACGACTGACGAACACGACATGGAGATGTATTAGAGAGATATGTATGTTTGTGGTGATGAATGAATTTCATTCAGGTAAGTGATAAGGGAGGAGGTTATAAGATGGGAATGGAGAGGGTTTTATAAGATTAATGAGATTTAAGTGAGTTCAATAGAGGGGTTATAAAGCTTTTAAGTTACAAAATTATTAAGCTAATAATAGTATTTGAACGAGGGCAATATGTAAGGACCATGAAATTTTGATACTAGTTAAAATAAATCTTCTGGTATTTTAAAATATTCAATTATTATTTTTGAAAAAGAGTATTTGTATTTTTCCGGCCTTCTAGAATTTTCTATGATTTAAAAATCTGATTTGTATATTTATTAATGATTTTGAAAATTATAAATTAAATAGTTAGGTGAAAACTTTCAAATAAATAATTGTTTTATTTATTATTATTGTTATATTATCATTGTTAATTTTTACAAGAAAAATTTCCCTAATTATTTCTATTTCCCCCTATTTATTTCTTTTATTTTTTAATTAATACATATTAATCCCTAACCCTAAACCTATTTAAACCCTTCCTCCTCTCTTTTCTGTGTTACACCCAGACGCCAGAGAAACCCTCTCCCTCTCCTCTTCATCACCGCCATCATCAACCCCCACCGCCGCTCTCCCCTACTCACCCCCGTCACCGCTCCCTCAGACCCGACGCCGTCAACCTCCTCCCCATCTCCTTCGCCACCTTCAAACAACCCAGATCCGAGCTCCTCCACCCCCTGCCACCTCGCCGTCATCCACCTCCGGCGACGCTAACGCCGAACCCCTAGTTCCACTCCGTCAACCCTCCAAGGTTCGCTGCCCAAACCACCGCACCTCCCCGAGCTCCGCCATTGCCGTCAAGATCGCACGCTATATGTTCGATGTTATGCCAACAGCCCCCTCGAACCCGTTGAGCCCTCGTGATGATAACCGTCGTTGTCGCTATTCCCAAACATCGCCATCACCCTCTCGACGACAAGCATTTCATATCCTTTTAACTCTTTTATTTTTCCATGATCACTTATCAAATTTTCTAGTATTTCTTCGTAGAAAATTTTGAGGCTAGATTTGCTTCTTTGGCTAATGGGAGACGGAGGTTCCTAATCTGTGAGATTTAGTATTCCCTTGTCTGGATTGTTGATGTGTTAAGATTACTGCAACTGGCAAGTTAGCTAGTATGGTCATACAAAATATGCACTTCCTCCAACTTTTTACTGTTTTCCTCTTAGTCTCTGTCCTTACTTTTGAGAATTCACTTTGACGGCCTAACATTGCCACTAGAGATGAATATGTTCAGGTTGCTTATGTGAGTGGTACTATTATCTCGAGGTATGAATTATTTTAGGATCAAAGTGAATTAAGTTAAAAAGTAGAAATTGGAAGTATGTGCATCCTAATATATGGCAGGACATGGAATTTCAGTCCTTTAGTAATGCTTTTGAATCTTTGATTGTGCAGTATTTTGGTAGTCATGGTCCTTTGGCATGGCAAAGGCGTTCAACATTATTTAAGTTATTACTATGTTATTTAATTATTTGGAGTATTACTTCGTCATTTTATTCTTGACTGACAAAAATTCAAGTTATCCCTTCCTAAAAATAAGAGTAGTCACAGCCTGGTAGGGCAAAGATATGTAGTTCTGGAACTCGATCTAATAGCCTTGATCAAATGGTCAGTTACGTTGGAAGTTAAAAAAAAAAACAAGCATATTTTCCCTCTTTTAAACTTTTTGTCAACATTAGTTTTCATGTTCTATAGTTTTTGTGAATTGTGTTGTAGGGTCAAAATTAACCATTATAGTAACAATCATATAGTTCACAGTATGTATTATAGATCAGTATTAATGTGATAAAATACATATAGTACTTTGTATAGCATGTAGTAGTTATCTGGTTTTATGAAAATTCAGCTGTAGCAGTTATAGAAATAGTAGAAATTAAGTGTGCCTGATCATGTAGAAATATATTTTAACAGTATATACAGTCCGGATGATGAATGATCAGCTAAGGTTTGAAATTTTAAAAGTTGAAGGGATTTTTTTTATATAACCCCTAAACTTGAGGGGGGGGGGGGGTTCTGACATTTCACATTTATTGGAAATTAACCAAACAGGCTCTTAGCGTTTAAGCATTTCTCTTTACTTAAATATCTTTCTACGCACTTTTTATAAAGTACACGGTTATCAAGCAGGTGAATACTTAAAATTGTATAATTTGATATTAGTTGTTATTGTTAGTTAATATAATATATCAAGTAATTAGTTTACATTGTAAGATCAGTTCAAGTGGAAATATATCAGAGTACATAAATGGTAGTATTAATAGTTTAGCGAGTAGTTTACAGTTGCGATGAAATGGGTTTAGTATAGTAATGTTTCTATTTTGTCATAATGGCTCTAATAATATGTATTTACTGTCCGTAGATGCTGGGTCCTAGTGACCGATGCCTTAACAAAAATCTTAACACATTATGTAAGCATTGTCAAAAAGAAAAGAAAAGAAAAAGTTATTATGAATTGTTTAGGGTTGTCTACATGTGCTCTCCCTCTCTTCAGCTTTATAGTGACCATGTTCCTTGGTAAATTATTCCTACCACGTCCTCTGTGTTGTCCAGGCTAAGCTTCAATTTGATTTGATATTTGACAATGGAAATCACCTGAAATGTCATGATTAGATTAAAAACCCGATTTATACATATAGTACTTATCTTGTTTGATACTGTGTTGACATGCATGACTTTATGGAATATTATTGCTTGATCACCTAGTTATTATCAAATAGGAGAGAGTGTGCATGAAGACGACTCCTGTTAAAAATATGATTTATAAGCGTGCTTTCATAGCATGACTATGCTCCCGATATCGATATCCCGATATGAGATTTCCTTGGCTATTACTATTATAGCATCGACTAGACGATGCACCTCTCTTGATTGGACATGTTCTGGGTCACGGTTATTTTCATGGTTTTACAGAAGTCGTTCCACGGTAACACTGTGGTTAGTGCACAACATTTCATGCACAGTCACTTAAAAATTTAATCGATAAACATGAGGTTTATAAAGGGGAATTAGACGGAGAATGTAACATGTATATAAACGGGTATATGTGCATTCCTGATATCCTGAGTTATATATACATGAGCCAAAGAGCTAATTCCTGACTTGAAGCCGTGTTCCCGGGACGGTTTACGGGGAACCGATTTATATACATGAGAATATTCTCTTCTAATTCAAATAACGTGTAAAAATAAGAATAGTGTGTTTTTTATGCTTTGTGATAGTTTTCGCATGCACGGTATGACCTGGATGAAGTATGGGTGATGTATATTGATAGTGTTGTGTATAGAATTTTTGGAGTTAATATTTAGAGATTTACAATTTGAGATGTATGGTATATACGAGGGTTTCCTTGTTTGGATTATTCCCTCGACGTACTCATCTCTCATATTTTGGGTTTCTAAATCTTACCTCCTTTTAGTATATGGTATAAGATGTATGCTTTAGGGTAGACATTGTTTGATATACATGTTTAGAAATTTCCTTTATCATCGTTAACTGAACTTTCATCTTATTTTGATTTATAAGAGTATCATTTTCTTTTATCACTGAAAATTTAGAATTCATCTTTTCTTTATATCTACCACTTATACTTACACGCGCACAATTTCCTCATTTTACATGCTTGCTGGGAGTTTTCTGACTCCCCTGGGGTTTGCATGCCCCAGACTCGGGAATTGTTCTTTCTTCGCAGGACCAAGAGTACTTTAAGGATTAAGGACAGCGACAGTGATCACCTTCTCTCTCTTCACTCTCTCAGCTTCAGTTATTGAGTCTTTCTTGTAATCACTTGTGATACTCCAGACTAAGATGTATTTTTTCCCTCTTTCCTACTTTGAATAGTTGTGGACATGTAAGAGAACTAGTCTTTTCAGAATTTTCTTTATCTATCTAGTTCCCTTGTTATTTTGGTTACATGCTCTATGTAGTAGTTCTTTTAGCAATATAACTGTGTACAAGATGATCCAGAGGCGTGAATGTAACCGTATGGTTGCATTGCCGACCGAGTCACGCCCTAAATTATCATGTTTTGGACCTGGGGCGTGACACAATATACGGATAATGATATTAATAAAAACTTCAAATAAGATGAAATGCCAATAGTCTAATGGTCAGCTCCTCACACATTTATTAAATGATATGAAGAGGGGGTTATATAGCCCTTAAATGAAATAGACATTGTTGAAGGAGTATTTTTATTATTAATCGGATCACTGAAATTTTCTTGAGGTTATCAACTATACTGTTGATGAACCCCTCTCAATCCTACTTTCATGTGAAAATAACCGTTAAATATTACTTTTCAATGTATCATGTATAAAAGTAACAGTAATAGTATGAATTGAAAAGAGTTGTGAACTATTGGAGAGAGTGGATGGAGGAGGTCATTTAAGATAATAAATGTAGAGAATAAAGATATTTAATTAAGAAAACTATTAATAAGATATTTATTATTAATAATAATTTTTTTATTTAAGTATGCATGTATGTTCATGTATATATCTGTTGTACGTAAGTATGCATGTATTTTTGAGGATGTAAGTATGTGTTTTATGGATGCATGTATGTGGTTTGGAGGGTATTTTTGGAAGAAATGTTTTAACATACCAACACACTTTTATAATAGTAATAATAATAATAATAATAGATTTGTATCATTTCCAAACGCATACAATGCTCATGACACATATGCAAGACCCATGAAGCACCTCTGTACAAAAACATTGATATCGCAAAAATTAATATCAAAATAATTATTTCTGATATCGGCACAATAAAAAAAACTTGTGGTCAATAACTGTATTGCAACATAAAGATTTTTCCCACATAGCAATTTTAAATTACCCAAAAGAAAAATAAAAGGCCATCTATTGAACTCAAAGCTTGCCAATGCCTATATCTATTATTATCCCTTCATATATGAAGTTTACGTAGCTTGCCCATTCTATCCTCCTCCTCAAGCATTGCCACCATTAACGCCACCTTCGTAGCTATGTGTGTCAATGTGTTCATTATCTGAAATATCAAAAGTGGCACATAATTATTTCTTATAACTCGTTAGAATCTTTACTTAGAAACTTAAATTAGTTGTATAAAATATAATACAAGGAAAGAACATCTAAAAGAAGATAACTTTATTTTAATTCTCTAACAAGAATAACAACAGGTAACACGATTGTTATGATGCATGTCATCTCACTTGCTGTTTTAGATGACATATCCTTACAACAAAATACAACGTTGCTGACGAAATAAAAACGTCGACAAAAGTTTAAAAAACGTCGGGAAATTTTTTTCCCGACACAAAATGCAGCGTCGCCAAAAGTGCGTCAAGGAAAGTATTTGGCGACGCAAATACACTGTGTCGCCAAAAGTATAATTTTGACGATGCGTCATGCGTCGGGAAAAGTATACCTTTTAGCAACGCATAATATTTTGTGTCGGTGAAACGTGTGCTTTTGGCGACGCATGCAGCGTCGGCAAAAGCTATGCGTCAGCAAAAGTACAGCTTTTAGCGACGCAAAATTATTCGTCGCTAAAAATTATACTTTTGGCGACGCAAATTAGCGTCGGCCAAAGTTCATCTTTAGCGACGCAGAATAAAGCGTCGCTAAAAACTATACTTTTGGCGACGTAAGATAGCGTCGCTAAAAGATATTATTTTTGGTGACGCAATATAGCATCGGCAAAAGTATAATTTTTAGTCGGTAAAAAGTATATTTTTATTGACACTAATTTACATCGCCAAAAGTAATATATTTTCTATCTACTATACCGAACCTGAACATCCACAACAAATTTGCTCTCACTCACATCAACAAAGAAACCAAACATCAAATTATACTCCAAACAAGTTGCATATTAACAACTAAAATAATATCGGTTCTTCTTTTCACAATCATTAAAATGAAACAAATAATAACATTAGTAAATAAATTTAAACGCAATTCTATTAAACAAATAACAAGTGTTTGACACATGTTTTATTAACAAATCCAACAATCATGATTAAGTAGACTTGAACAATAAAGACTACAGAGATCGAACACGTCTTATCGACGTTGCAAGCCTTTCCTTCGTCACGTCTCTGGCTTATTCTTCCCACCTTCACCATCCATCTCAAACTTCTGTTATGTAGCTGCAATGGAAAGAAATGTACTCAGTAAGGCAAATAAAAAGTTAAAATCAAACACAAAAAAATGTACTCAGTAATGTTCTAATATATACTTTTTATTTATGTATTGATGTGTAAGATATTTATGCTGAAAGATTGCATAAGAAGAAAAATATCAAGATAGATAATGAAAAAATAATATCCTCAAAACAACAATATTTATATCAAACTTTACACTTATGATAATATTAACACAAAAGCAACGATACCTATCTAAATGAGTGTAATTTGTTATAGTGGATCTACAACAAGTAGTCTCGCTTCATCCGGAAACTTATCAGGTAGCTGAAATCATCAAAGCCAAAAAAATTACTGCATTGAGTTACACACAATTCTTTAACTAAACTAAGATATATTAGAAGAACAAGTTCTACTCAATCTGTAAAAAACAATAGAACAATGTACACTTTACCAAGTTGTTAGTATGTAGGGCATCAAGATACGCATTCTCAACCGGCGAAGGCAGCACCCTGGAGCTCATTTCCTCAAATGCCTCCTCGATAACCTTCATTCTCTCCTCTCCCATCCTCTTCACAAACTTCTCCCCATCTGCATTTTCCCCAACATACAGCTCAAACTCATCATTGGTTCAAGGAGATCCATCAAAATAAGTATAATGTCCTCCAATTTATATAATCATGACATGAGGTAGAACGAAATACTGAAAAAATATATAGATAATAATAAATAAATAAATGAGTCTTACAAGAGGTAATTGAAGTTTACTTTAAAAGCTCTTGAGAAATCAAGATGTACAGACAAAGTTGTGTTTGATCTGAATCTTGCAAGAGGTCTTGATTATTACACTGGAGTTATATTTGAAGCAGTGTTTAAAGGTTCCACACATGTAATATATATACTCAAGAGTTTATTCTTCTAATGGTTTTCGACATTATTACACTGGACTAATACTGAACCCATGGTGATTGTTTTGATAGAGGTTTTTTTTTTGGTAAATGAACTGAATTTTATTCATTTTCCAAATTGTGACATTGTGAAGAACATCAAGAACCAGCAATAACTGGTATAACAAAAATAAAGAAAATTACATTTTCTCTAGTATTTCTTTCATATGGCTATATACACTATCATTAAGTACTTTCGTGTAAACTGAAACTTGTATGTCTCTAAAAATCTGAGCTGGATCTTTTGCTTTAGCTTGAAAAATTCTTTGATTCCTCTCCCTCCATATCATATATATTGAAATTGATAGAACCATTCTCTTCAATTTTTTCATCAACCCTTTTCCTTTCAATCTATAAGAATACCAATAAATGAGCTGATTCCAATTACATGATCTCCACCTGTAGTTAAGCCATTCCATCACCCTGTTCCAAATGTCAGCTGAAAACTGACATTCAAAAAGTATATGATCTCTTGTCTCTGGCTGATATCTGCAGCATAGAACACACTTGCTCTGATCTGAGTTCATAATCCCCTGTTTTCGGTGAAAGTCGCTGTTTTCATTGCTTTTCGAATCTGTTACAACTTTAAACGTTACAACAAGAATCGATAAAAAGAGTCAGTCTTTTTATAAGAGTTTTCGAATCTGTTACAACTTTAAACGTTACAACAAGAATCGATAAAAAGAGTCAGTCTTTTTATAAGACTTCCTTGTGCAACAAAACAAAGATTACAACTTTTCGAAAATAAACACGAGATCCCGTTTTGGTGCGGTCTCGCTTGCGTGGGTCTTTGGCCTGTGACGGGGATGTTGATATCCGTGGACCACCGGGGCAATCAGATCTGGTCCGGATAAATCGGACAGAGTTTCGTCGATCCGCGTGAGATCTAGAAACTTCCGGTCCAGAAATATCGGACAGAGCTTCGTCGATCCGCGTGAGATCTAGAAGCTATAAGCGTATACCTCGGCTAAAACGAGGTATTAGCTCTTCTTAGTATCAACGCTAAAGGCTAATACTAAGGAAAGAAGGGGGGAAAAGGGTGATGAAGACTGATGCCGACCTCTCCTCCTTGGTTGAAGCGCTCGATCACTCTTTGCTGCAGCAGGGCTTCGCCAAGGCTCTCCAAAAATCCTCCTCTAAAACAAAGGGTCAAGGGGTCTATTTATAGGCATATGAGGACATGTAGGGGGGCTAGACACCCCTGGGGTGTCTCCACAGATCCGAGACACCCCTGGGGTGTGGGTGTCTCGGCCTGGCCGAGACCACCCTAGGGTGTCTCAGCTTGGCCGAGACACCCCTGGGGTGTCTAGGCTTTTCCTAGACACCCCCGGGGTGTTTCGCCACGCCGGGACTCCGTTTAGGTGTATTTTGTTGGTTTCCCTGTAGACTCTTCGTCCGTACTCGGATTTGAGTGATTCCGGGTGCGTTGGATGCTCGACGAAGAGTTCGATCCGCTCTGGTGGTTGGATTATCTGTAGAGTGGTCGAGGCGCGAGGGGCGTTATCCTTTTTGTGAACAGTGCCGGGTTCCCGATCGGTCCGAGTCTTCGTTGTTCCGAAATCATATCCGCTCATGTAGCTCGTCGATTCACTTCAGTCGTTCGTCGACGTCAATTGAACTCCTGTGGATCGGATGGTGACGTTCATCGTCGCTTTCTAACACTGAACCGTTCGTGGAGACCTATAGGCAATTTTCGATGCCTACAGATACCCCCTCCAAAGTGTTCCTGACTCGTTTCTTTTATAGAAGAGGCTGGAATACTTTGGATGTGATTGATCTGGCCTTCAGTCGGCGTAGTTAGCTTCAACTCTTGACTCTTTCGATTTTCGATCTAT